AACCTACCCGTTATTTAATGAAGGGTCAAACATCTAGTAAATAAATTAATTATAAAATAAAAAAAATCATAAAAAAGAAAATATAAAAAAGAGAAAACCCGAAAAATAAAAAAATAAATAATATAAATTTAACGCTAACTTAACAGGTTTTTTATGTAATACCAGAAATATAGCATTGTTATTAACGTTAATAAGCAACTGATACATGTATAACCTTTTAAAAATTTAGTTAAAATTAAGCAAATAGAAATTATAAAAAATTTTCTAATTCTAATAAGCAATTTTAAATTCTAATTATATTAAAATATTACATTAACTAAGCAAATAATTTTGTTACCTATATTACTCGGGTCCTGATATAACCCAGATACGAATGTATCATTAAAAAAACAAGCTAAATTGGTTTAAAATTTGCTCATGTAATTTAATTCATTTTCTATTAACTTGTTTGAGGGATTGTTTTGGAAAATTATGGCATACAATTAATGGATTGTGAAGTGCTAACAATTTGATCCATCATGAAAAAATATTTTTAAAATGAATATTTTATTTGGCATATAAATTATATTTTTACTTCTAAGCACATTGGTATATAAATCGAGGATTCTATGAATTTTAATAAAATTTAATTAACTTTATTGCAAAACCTAACACTATTATTGAACTACGTAGCAACTTTTTTTTTCATGTATAGTATGTGCACACATACCGTATTTGTGCAAAATAACGCTTCGAGACTATCATGTAATTTAGAGAGCTAATAAATAATTTAGCCTAAAATAAAATTATGATTTGAAAATTTCATCATGTTTGCGAACTAAATAAAGAGTACCCACTCATGAGAGCGATACCAATACAAAGAAATAGCCTGACTTTGAACTTTAACCTTTTCTGAGCTTGTGTTACTCGCACACAAAAAATAAGTATTTACTTTTTAAGTATTTCGCCCGACTAATGAGCGTATTTTTTTTATATTGATATTGACCATCTTTGGAAATTTACACATTTCGCCGACTATTACTCTTTTTGGAAGGTGCATATTTTTTATAATTTTGGTCAATTTTACTTTTTCAGCAACAATCCCGACAATGGAGGCGGGCAGTTACTTACGAAGAATAATCAGGCTCCGAAAATCCCACAGTACAATAATTTCCTTAGGAAAAAAAATCAGGAAATTTTTCAATATAAAATCATACTAAAACTGACAAACGAATTCATCTTTTACACACAAGTTGTGATTATGAAACTCAACGATATTCGCAAGCTGAATTAATTACTCCATACAGTCACCCTCTATATAGTCACAACCTCTTTATAAGCACACTAATTTTTAGAACAAACTTGTATAAAACATAAGAAATTTGACCTCTATACAGGTACAATTGCTTATAAGCACAGAGCTTCTTGGAACCGAGGGCGTGACTGTAGAGAGGTTTGACTGTATTTTGGTAACTTATAACTATGTCTAACACGTTCATTCTAAGTTTGATTATAATGCAGCAACCTGATTTGTGTAGGTTTATAAAATAGGTAATCCCGATTAATGCCAATCATGGAAAAGTCAAATAGATAAAATTAATTTAGGGTTAATAATGAAAAATTTACCTTTCGCTTTCGATAAATAAATTAATGGCGTGCAGGCCAATATTACAACAAACAGAATCCCGACAAAAACCGACAACAAAAAATCATTAGATTAGGTGAGTACTTAGTCCGGTTTTAAATTTCAAAAATACTTTCAGTCTCCCGATTGTTCTCAGGCCATTTCTCAGCCCGCATAGGTTATGATTAGCACCTAGGTTAGGGCTAGGGTTTAGGCGATTATATAGTAAAATTGCTCAAAGAAGACTTTTTTGATTGTCGAGATTTTTTTGTTGGGATTTTGTTTGTCGGGATTTCCGCGTACCTTTTAGATCGATGAAAATTTTTAAAATACTAATTGTAATATACTTTTTAATAGTTCTCGGCACGATCAATGACTATCAAGTATTTGTGATTAGTCTCGTCAAAATCTTTAGAAGCATCCCATTCTTCCATTATAATTTCTCTCAATGAATTTGTTGATATCTCAGAACTGAGAAGCTGGGGTTAAATCGCCACCAAAATAAACAGATCACGTGATTTACATTATTCACGTATCTATTTTTTATAAAAAATTTTATTAATAAGCATTCTAACTAATTGATGCAACTCACTCTCGTTATAGTGAACGCTCGTTATAGTGAAGATTCGGATACAGTGAAGAATTTTTGAATTCCGGAATTATTAAACTCCAACTCGATATAGTGAAGTACGTATATTATTCTCTTGATATAAACTATATAGTAAAGATTTTTTACTATAACGTGAGTAAGTTGTATATCGCGATTATTAAATCACATGATCTGGAATTTTTTAGGTAGCGATTTAACCCCGGTTGGGCGATTTTCTGCAAAATGCAGAATTCACGTGAATTATGGTCTTTTTGCAGAAATTCTGCGATTTATTTATTAAAGTGCATTATTATCTACATGAAGGTGTTCAGGATATTCTTTAACACGAGTATGAAGGGATACAAAAGGTTGTTTTTACTTTTTTTAGAGAAATGTACTTTAACGATAATTATTGCTAATATTCGTAATTATTACTAATATTTTTATCGATTACAAATATTTTAAATAAATACTGTAATAATTATGTAATAATTATGGTAATAAATTAAGTCCGATTGACTTTTTGCTTAGTTGAGCGCAGTATTTTAAAAATTGTGCAGTATTTTAAAAATTGTAAGTTTTTTTTTTTTTTCAAATTCGCATATTTTTCAAATCGCAGAATTATCACAGAAATTGCGAATTAATGACGACAGAATTTTGGTTTAATTGCCGCAGAAAATCATCGTCCCTGGGCGGAGGTTATGCGAGAACTATAATTATCAACTGAGTGGAAACATTTAAGCTGCTCTTGAGATTTAATGACAGACATTGAATGATTATAGATCTAATCAGTAATTAGGGCTGTTAATGACCCGGACTTCACACGGACATTTTAAGACCGATTCCAAATGGCATGTCTTTTGTTCCAATTCATGATTAGGATGATGCTGATAAATTTGGTAATTTATATCAATTATATATTACGTATTATATGCACAGACTCAATTCAAAGATAGGCAGCTTATCAAAGTCCCTATTCCCAGAGGGATCCGTATTGTTTCATCGATAATCACTTCATAGACACCACATTTTACCGACAATTATTCGCCAAGTTCATTTTATATTTCACTGAAGCTCATTTCACCGACAATTTTTTTTTATAAATTACACTAACTTTAACTCTAATTTAACCTGATCCTAATGATATTGACCAGAATTACTTTGTTTGTAAAATGAGCTTAGATGAAATGAACTTGCCGGTAAGTAATTGTCAGTGAAATGTGGTGTTTACGAAGTGATTCCGTTTTCGTTTTGTTTTAAATATGTATAGATATTGAACTCACCATTTGGTAACTTACCGCCAAATTTTATGAATTACCGTTTTACTGTACACACGGCTGGCATTAACCTTATCAACACAACATCACCGCATTAGATCTGGAATCAAAATTGCGAACACGATAATAATTTATGGGCGTCACTATCCAAGTTTTACTGTATAGCAAGAAGTCGCCATGGGTATTTTTTCACATATGGTGTAAGTAAGATTATTAATCAATTTTTTTTTATAATGAATTTTCCGAATTTTCCGATTTCATTGTTTCCTATTAAATTATTATAGAAAAGTGATATCGCACCAGTTTTTATTTCTCTTGAAATATTTTGTATTTTTCGAATTCTGTAACTGTGTCTGCTTTATGAACGGGACGCGCTTGCGCGGTAATTCGAATCATTTTGGCAAATTTTGGCTACAAAGGAAGCCCTACTTTTATTAATAAACTTAGCTTGAAAAATTCGATCAAAATATGTAATATGGTATATTTAAGAGGGGCGTTATTTTGGGACGCGTACGGTCGTTATTTTGAGTCAAAAAACAAATGTCAAAAAAATGTGGTTTCGAAATAACGCCCATGTGTGTTATTACGCGCAAACACGGTATGTTCATAAAGTAACAACGCTAAATTTTACACATGCCAATATAAAAAATTATAAGTTAGGATTTAGTACTTAGCTTATATGCAATGAGTTACTTATATGAGGATCAGTTACTGATCTTAATTTAGCAACATTCACATTCCATATAATCGAAGTATTAATGCTAACCATTATAATTGTTATATTAGCGTATGTAAAATTTACGTTGTTACTTTTTGAATATACGTTTCATAGAGCATACACAGTTTACAGAATTCGAAAATACAAAATACTTCGGGAGAAATAAATATAACTTTTTCTATAATAATTTAATTAAATTCGGTAAAAGTTCTTCACCACTATTTGTGATAAAAACGATATGAGATACAAAAGTTAGACGTTAGCAAGATATATAGTAAAATTGCTCGTGGAAAACTTTTTATTAGAGCACTAAAGGTGGTCTTTTATGCATGTTTTGAGAATAGGTGATTTTTAAAAATGTTTATTTTGAATTTCCTGGTAGTTTCAATTTCATTATATTACCGCATTTGAAAACATATGAATGATACTGCTGTAAATGGAATAGCATATTCTATTGATAGAGGTAAGTTGGGTTTATATTCATAATTCCGTTGTCCTAAACTTAACCTCTCTTTCGCTTATAACATATATTCACTTTTATATTTTACCAATTTCGTGGCAAGCATATTTAGTTAAAACTCGAATAAAGCACAAGATTTAAAAATTCTTCGGGGATGATTTTATTTATACCAAATTTTCAGTTAATTATAACTAACCAATTTAACCAAAATTATAATTCTGAGCTAAATATATATCAACTAGTTGGAAAGATTCATGGGATTCTCGTCAAGAGATCCAAAAAAAATGTGATCGAGATTATGACTTTTGTCAAGAGATTCATGGAAAAAGGGTGTGACGTAAACAAAGTTTTCGTCAGAATTCATAGAAAAAGAAGGGTGTGACGTAAACAAGGTTTCCATCAGAAAATTCATAGAAAAAGAAGGGTGTGACGAAAACAAAGTTTCCGTCAGAAAATTCATAGAAAAAGGGCTGTGCTGAGACGGAATCCTCACCAGGGGGTTTATATGAAAAGGAGTCGGTGTCATAATCCTCGACAGGAAGTTCATATAAAGACGATGAATCAAGACCATAAAAGTTTACGTTAGGATAATCTTGTTCGGGAATGGAATTGATGACAGTTGATACAGAAGGTTGAGATAAGTTATGACAGAATTGGAAACAGGGTATCCACAAATATCCGGAATATTATTTTTATTCTGCAGTAATTTTAGAAGATCTTCAAGCCCTTCTGTACGTATATATTATCGTAAATTTTAGTTGTAAAATGATTTAGGAAAATAGTGGACAGTACAAATATTTAACCATACCTTGTTCTACTTCCACCTTGATAGTGCCATCACTTGTCTGAAAATATATTCGGCCATCTTCTCCAACAAAACTACCTTTAATAGGTTGGACTAATTAAATAGCAAATGTTAGGACGTGCACGAATTCATTAAAGAACTATGTATGTACATTTTATACCTTCAATAACCACTTTACAATTTCTGCATTCTTTAGAAAACGGAATATTTTTTTTATAGCACTCATTACATTGAACTAAACAATCTATTTTTTGTCTCTCGCATTTTTTACATTTATATATTCCCAACATTTCTTCATCATGTTGGCACTTTTTCCCTTGATGACGGCAAAGAACACATTTGTAACCAATTTCTATCTCCTTTGGAGAGTCCGACATGACTATGCTATGCTGACTATACCTTTCACAAAATATTCAAATCGAACATTGGAATAGACGAGAATTACATTTTATTAATCAACGATGCATCTTATATACCATTTTCACGGAAAAATGTCCGAGTAGATATTTATCTATACACGTAGATGTGACGTATATTCAATTTTGTATAAAAAAAAAAATTCTGTTTCATGTAAATACTTAGAAAGATATTATATCCGAGTCTATTGTTAATTTTGGGTGAAGTCTAGTATAGACGACGCCATTAATAATAATCAATTGATTTTTATACTAAATTTCCTTTTATCACTTATTTTGAATAAAATTACAAATAAAAAAAGGTGTCATATGCCTAAAAAAAACATTTTTTCAGCAAGTAAAAGTTTCACACAGAAATCGAAAAAATCTTCCAAAGAAAAGCTGACGCTTTTTAGAAATATTAAAGCTAAAAGAAGATAAAGGGCTGAGTGATAAATTATCAATGCTAACACTTGAAACACAAACTATGCGACGATTGATGTCGCGGAAAATTCTCTGGCAACCTAATTCGGAACAAAATGAATATTTAAGGTTCAAAAACTTAGATTAATAATTATTTTCCTCCCGGATGGACCAAACCTGACGTTCAAAATGGGAAAATTTAAGTTCATAAATATTACCACACCGGTCAAATATAAGACAAATATACAAATTAAAAAAATAAAGAGAAGAATACAATCTGAAAGTGAATTGGAAAAAAGAAAAACCATACCAAGTAATTCTATACCGAGAAGAAATACTATACAAACAGTTTCCCACAAAAATTTTAAGTTAAGTCCCATCCGCAGTAGTACTTTACCAGCAACAAGATTTAACTCTCAAGCGCAAGTTAGTACTATATAATTCTAGTTGACCCTATAAAAAAAGATGAAAAAAATACTAGATTTATATTAAATAATTTCGTGTCAAGAATATTCATTTATGAATTTTTTTTGGTGTCACACAACTTCATTTGAATTCCCGGAATTCATGCTAAGATTCTTTATCATAATTTATTATTTATAGGGCAAGTCTAGCTAGATTTCTGAAAAGAAAACTTATAAAAAATACTTATTATCAATTATGTTTAAAATAGGTATCAGAATTAATAGAAACCTCTGAACTGTTGAACAGCTGTGCAAGTTGTAGAAAGTCAAAAAAAAAATGTGAATATACAGGAAAATCGGGAGAGTTCAGATGTGAGAGGTGCAAAAAGTGTTTAAGAGAATGTCTATTCCAGTGCACGAAATGCTATCAACAAAATAAAGATAAAAAGGAGCTTTCTAAATGCGTAGATTGTAAAACAACTATGAATGGTAAGTATTTCACTTCACTGACCGGCAATATAGAAAAACGTGATCAGATCAGTATTGTATGAAGTGCTGGCGCAATATTATATCAATTACACTTCATATAAAAACCCCAGTTTGCCGTAATTTAGTTATGACAATTCGCCTGCACCACTAGGGATGCATAGTACAAATTTTAAAAAACCGTATCATACTAGTCTCCCAATAGCGGATCAGTATGGTACTTTTTTTTATGATAAATTCGTACCGTACATTGTATAGTACTGATCCGGTCGCCAGCCTGTGTATGAAAAATTTTCATTAAATTATTTTTTTTGAATCTAACTCTGATTATCGGTTAGACCCTTCCACAGAATATAGCATCGTCATAAACGCAGATAATCAAAGGCCTTACCTTCAACATTCTAATTGCGACCATAAAATTGAAATCACTTCTGGTAATATATATATAATGTAAGTATTCCTAATTTGACGCAGTTAATCTTGCCCAATAGCAAGTTTTATGGAATTAATATAAAAACAAGCA